ACTAAGTGGGTGGAAGCTGAGCCTTCGGCTAATAAACAAATTGCGACTTATGAAATTTTTTATCTGATCAAAAATAATATTTGACTAATTAAATCGCTAAATTGTAACCAACTTATAAATATTTAATTAATTAAATCATAAATAAACTTTATTAATAAAAAAATTGCTGACTTGTGAAATTTTTTTATCAGTGAACGTAACTAATAAAATTTTTTATTCTTGATCAAAAATAATATTTGATTTAGACTTAATTTGCAACCAAATTATATATTTAATTAATTAATTCATAAATGACCTTTATTAACCATCTTTTCATTGAATGAGATTTATAGCTTTTAGTCTTAATTTTAAAATGCATAATACTCCCTACTTTCTTGTTTGTTGATTTTCCCCACTCTATTCACCAGTATAAGGCTTAAGACTTGAATTACGCAGGGGCCGCGCGTACGCAGGCCCCCTCTACCACAAATTATGACGTAGGCTCGACCACTTGGGCCGACCTTAGACGGGCGCCCCTCCTGAGTGCAATGGAGGTCGCCAATCTAGGCCATGGGGCTTATTGATCGCCCATTGACCCCGTCCAGGTAAGTATGTTAATGGTCGTCCTACCTTCCAATATATAGCCCGCTAGTCCAATTTCCAATAAGTTTCCAGTCGATGTGGGATTTCAGAATCTTTGTCAAGAGTCAAGATACTGTGAATTTTGGGATTTTTCGTTCAAAAGCTACTGGCAGGAAAGTGAAAAACAAAATGTTAGGGTTGCTTGATGAGGATGGACAATGTTGCATTGAAATGGATTGTATTTACACGGGTTGACACCGGGTATTTTGATTAACATTTTTGTTCCTCTCAATCTACAAGACAACAAATGGATCGGCATAGTTGAGGGAGTGAATGCACGCATCTCTGAGGAATTGCAGCCGAGTTTTTGCACCTTTCATGGCGGAGGAGGTCAACTCTGCTTTGTTTAGTATGGGGGACTTTCAAAGCGCCATGACTGGATGGCTTTATGCCTTTTTTCCCCAGAGAAATTGAGATACTATTGGAGTCTCTGTGTTGGATTTCTATCTGAGGGTCCTTAACAACGGCAATTCAATCAGCATGGTTTATTGAGCAAGCTATACCACCGGGTTGATTGGGATTTTTTATGGCAGTAATGGAACGCATAGGTTTTCGAGAACGTTGGTTGCGACTTGTTTATGACTGCATATCAACATTTACTCCTGTTTTTCTTATCAATTATGAAGCCAAAGGAAGGTGTCGACCATCACTGTGTCTGAGACAAGGCTGCCCCCTATCCCTCTATTTATTACTTTTCTGTCTAGAGGATCTGTGACAGATTCGGAAAGGGGTTTCAGTTGTACTCAAATAGGGCCACGGGAAAATCACATGTTCTTCGCAAATGATAGTCTACTTTTTGTCGTGCTAAGAGGGAGGACCTGGCATTAAAAAGCGGGTGTGGAATTGTATTCAATTGTAGCAGAGGAAACTCTTTTCTGCTCGGGGTCGAGAAATTTTAATTAAGCTGTGGCACAATCCCTTCCTACATATACAATGAGCATTTTTAAACTTCCGGCAGGATTATGCAGTGAGATCAAAAATCTTATTTCCTCATTCTGGTGTGGTCAGAAAAATGGGAAAAGAACCATGCGGTGGCTTCCTAGGGAGTTGATGTGTCAGCCGAAAGCTTGGGCGGCATTGGTTTCTATGATCTGCTGGGATAAATATTTTTCTTGGTCCTATTTTCTTCAGGAAGAATCTAAAGTGATGCTCAGCTCCCCATGGCTACCTAGACCATTCTCGTTTCTACCAATTACATCTAGTCTGGGTGATCGCTGATTTACTAAACCAAGATTGTATTTGGCAGCGTAAGGTCATAAATGATCTAATTTGTCACCGGATGCAGAGATTATCTTATCTTTACCAGGGGGTTTTCCTATAGTTACAGATATCCCTATGTGGTAATTTGTGTGGAAGGGCATGAATTTACTTAAAGTAGGGCTACATATTGGCCATATCTCTCTCTAGGTCGTTTATTGAATATAGTGTAATCTGCTTTCAGGTTGGTTGAATTTCTTATGGAAAAGTGATATTCCTTTGAAAGTGATTCTTTATCTGACGTGCTTTCTTGGATATTCTACCATCTTGTGTTATTCTTTGGCTACGACATATTGTTGTGGGGATGTTTGTGCTCGACACGAGGAGGAGGAAGAAACTATTTTCCATGCTTTGTTTTCTTGCACAATTGCTAGATGGTTCTTGGATTATTTTTCGAAAGTGGTGGCTGATTTATTTGATGCGGCTGACAAGGCTAGTGATATGTTTCTTCTTGAGCGTGATCGTCTACCAGAGAGGATGCAGGGCTGTTTATGGTTACATCTTGGGCATGCTGGAAAGAGCTCAATACTTTCCTCTTCAACGTACCACATTTCAACCGTCACACAGGCTTTTAAAGGATTCAGCAGGTTATTTATCTGGATTCTAGTCACTAAACTGCTCCATAGTGTGCCCATCAGTTCTGATGTTACTTCTCGGCATAAATGACTTCAACCCACCAAAGGAAAACTGAAGCTAAATATGGATGAACCCTTGCATCAGACGGTGATGGCTATGGTGTTATGGTAGTGCTTAACCATGGGCAGACTTTGGCTGCATTCTCCAAGTTCTTTCATGGCCTGATTTCCCATTTTCTACCAGTGTGCTATGCTATCGTGGAAGGATTACGATTTGCAAGATCACAGGCTCTTCATATCTCACTCGCAACAGTCTGACTGCATTAATACAGTTATGGGCCTATGGCAGTCAAAGAACCAACTCATCGTCCCCAGTAGGGCACTCTTCTATCCATTGAATGTAGTTTCACAGGGTGTGAGGCAAAAACAATATAGTTCATGTTTATAGAATGGCTTGAAGCGGCTCCAAGTTTCATTTCTGAAGCTAGTTTTTTTCATATGCATAGTCAGGAAATTAACACGAATGAATGGAACCCAAAAAATGAATAGGGCGTTCCTAGTGTGCAATTTCATTATTAGAATTAGAACTCTCTCTCGTTTCTTGTTTTTCAATTAACAAACAAGCGTTCCACTAATATTTATCGACGTGAAAGAAGTATTATATTAAACTACAATAAAATTTAATTGAGCAAACAATGTGTAGAAATTGTAACCATATAGTCTCCCTCGTGATGAAAAATACTCTCTAAAAGGAGCCCGACCTGGAAACAAAAATACAAAATAATGTAAGCGTATGTTTCCGTATTCAGAACTGAATGCAAAGAAACCACATTGAAAAATAATAATAATAATAATAATAATAATAATAATAATAATAATAATAATAATAATAATAAATAAACAAAAGGAAGAAGCACCTAATATTTTACCAAAAGTAGATACATGATGTTTGTTCAACTTTTTACCAACCTTTAAAATTCTCGACTTGGATCGATTACCAGCCTAACGGTCTAGATGACTTTATTGTAAAGTTTTAATTTTTTATTAGAAAACAAGACAAACTTAACAAATCCGCAACAAGGTAAATTTAATTGGGCAAAGTATGAACAGTTCAGCCCATTATTATCCCTCTAATGCCAAAGTGTTAATCTTGGACCATCAGCCATTCCCATGCCAAGACAGAGACTAGTTGTCGTATTTCTGGGGAAGGAAAATTCAGCTCTGGCATTCATCCGAAATGCACCCGGACTTATTTGAATAATGTTATACTATTGATGTAATCATGATCTTGTAAGGTATGAGACTTGAATTTTACATTAAAAGTATAAACTTTTTGTGAGGTTTCTCTTGATTGCGATATTGCAGTGTGGATTGTGATTTCGGCAAAATAGTGTTGCAAGACTTGTCATGGCTAGTGTAAAGTCGAACATACATGGGCGTCAAGATCATATAAGGTGGAGGGTTGTCATGGTATCGTTGTGAGGTGCATGTCTTGAATTTTACGTCAAAAGTATAGACTTTACGTGGACTTAAATAAATTGGGGACTTCCCGACATCAACAACTAGTTTTTTTGTATAGTTCTCCCACTGTCATGATATTGTTGCAATTTATGATACTTGAATCCTACATTGAAAGTATGGACTTCTGCGTGGTTTATCTGGATATAGGTTCTTCAATCTCAAAAGCTAACTTTTGGGTAATGGTTCTCCTATGATCCATAACACACTCATCTACGTGGCAACACGTTTGCATTATATTGACATTAAATACTAGATCCAATAAAAAAAATATATGTAAAGATAAATAATGCTATTTATTTTTACTAGAGGTGATGATCAATATGTGGCAAATTATGTGACATGATAAATCTAGTTAAATATATGGATATATAGAACTCATTTTATGGTTAATCATTTGCCACATAACATAAGGATGATCCTTAGTAAGGATAAATAAGATATGAAATCCATTTTATTAGAGTTATCATTTAATGTCACTACATCGTACATTTCGCTATATCTAACTCTTCACATATTTAAAATAATAATAAATAAATAAATTATGAACTTTCGAAGAGTAGTTCGCTATTATGGAGAACTATTCCTCTCTTGTATCAATTCCAAAATGCTTCACCTTGAATAATCATATTCTTGCCTTCTAACATCAAGTTGAACGATTTTGTTGTTCAATCCTCAAGATAGTACATGCCAACACATGTATTTTATATTATCATATAATATATTTTACCAAATAGAAAGATACTTTTATCAAAAAGTTAGTTAAGAAAATATTTGTTTGAATAATAGTAAGAAAAAATAGAATAATCAATTATTTGTTTTTTACAGCAACCAATCACAAAGAAAAAATTGTCTGCCTATTATGTACATATAGAATTATGAATAATGCTGAACAAATCTAGAAAATAAACAGACTAATGTGACATTTCATAAATGAGTATTTTTATGTTGGTTTTTCTCAATTTTTAATAAAAATCTGTCGAGGGTTGTCTGCAAATCACGTAATTAGAATTATTGAATAAATAAATACTTTTCTAAGAGCCAAGTTGGACTCTTACTACAATTCATTCCGTCTCTTCCGTTCTGTGTCTCATTTCCATATCATTCTCCGGTTCTCTAGACGCACATCTCAAAGCGATAAAGAAAAAGGAAGTGAAAATGGCAAGTAACGGAGGTGGGTATGGAGATGCAAGCCAGAAAATAGACTATGTTTTCAAGGTGGTGCTGATTGGTGACTCGGCAGTGGGAAAGTCTCAAATACTGTCCCGTTTTGCACGAAATGAGTTTAGTTTGGATTCCAAGTCCACCATCGGCGTCGAGTTCCAGACCCGGACGCTTGTAATCCAGCACAAGTCCGTTAAAGCCCAGATCTGGGACACCGCCGGCCAAGAACGGTACATACTCGCACATCTGATTTACATATCTATGTCTCAATATTTACTTGCGGATGGACCGACGAATTAAGAAGATATTATGAATTTGAGTGTTTCCTTCTTATGATTTAAGTAGCTTTGTGTTCTGCAATACGTTTCTTGTAATTGGCATAGCTGATCTTTTGTGGGTCGATTTGCTTTTCGGATTTCGGTTTCATTTTGGTTTAGTATTAATGTTGTGTGATTGATGTTGGGGTGTTTCTTCAACTGTTTAAATGTATTGACAGGGGACTGTTTGATTTGCAGTATATACTTTGCGATGAATAATTATGTCTTTACTAATATTTTGATTTATTTGTCATTAGTTAAATTTATTCCCTAAAGTTAAATGTTTGTTACATTTGGATCCTTTCAAAAACTAATGTGACAACCTAGAAATAAATAAAGGAGTGACTCAATTGTAACAATATATTAAATTATGGCCAACTTTGAAAGATGATGAAGCTTAGAAGATAACATGAAATTTTCATGAAAGTTAAATGTAATTTTATCCATTAGTTATCAATTGTGCGCAAGGAGAATTGATCGAAACCTATGGAAGTCATAAAAATGCTCATGAGTCGTGCATTCTATCTGCTATTGAGAGAGGGAGATGATGTAATGCATTTTTCATTTTACTGTAAAGGGAATTTTGTTGTTTCTATCATGCTATGTGGAAACTAAATTAGAAGCAAATGGAATTTTAAAATGTAGTAGGGTAAGGCCCATTTGGAAGGTCTTTTGAAAAGCCAAAAACTGTTTATGAGACTAAGAAGTTGCTTTTTAACAACATGTTTGAATAATTTTTTAGAAGTGTTTTGTCTAACTGGAAGACCTTTTAGAGGAAGCTGCCCTAAGGTGGGTAAGTGATAGGTTCCTGGGAAAATTCAATTGTCACTTGGAATAATTCACCAACAGGAAATCAGAAAATAGGATTGAATTTCCACTAATGAACTTTGATTACAAAATAAATCTGCTAAATGAACGAGTGAAAACAGAATTGAAAGAACTGGAAAGTTGAAGAAACTAAACAAGGGGTATTTGGCTTTTCGAGAGAGCCATTTCTCTCCTAATTGACCACCAATTTTTGCCTGCCTTCTCCAGAGCACAAATCACCTTATTTATAAGAGGTTTTGCCCCCCAGCTGCCATAACAGAATTCATAACCGTGCATGTGCTACCCTCTTCTTTCATAATCCCGGAACCGCCCTTGCCTAATTTGTTGCGCCTCAGATACTTCTTCCATATTGCGGGTCTAACAGGAAGCTCTTCTAATATAAGCAAAAGCCTTGCCAAACGGGTTCTACTACTTCTTAGTTTAACTTGTAATTTCAAGAGTTCATATTTCTCTTTACTTCTCTATAATTCATATTTTGGAGAGTTAATAAAGGTTGACAAAGATTTTCAATTGTTGATCGTTAGAAATTTAATTTTGTGCATCAATAGAAAGTATATTGTCAAACAAAACAACAAATTTTTGTTAGCTCCATTAAGTGTTCTTCATTGTTTGGTCACCTATGCTTAATATTATTGGGTTATTTTTCTTTGTGATTTGGGTTTTATGGTGGTTAATGTTCGTATTTTGCACAGCGGTAAAAACCTACTATGGTGGTTAAGTTTCTTTTATTTTTGACCATTTAATTCATATGAAGCATTAAGACGTGAAGCACATGGAGAATGTGGATTTGCAATTTATATATTAATCAAACATGACATATTTTTGATAGATAGTTCGTCTTTCATTCCATTGCAAGAACATATAAGAACACGATATGGTGGTGGATGGGGAGGGATTTAACGTGGGTTTTGCAACTGCTTGTGCCTAGTTTGCTTTGTCTTTTTCCTTTCTTTGGTGGGACAAGCCAATGATATTGTTTATATTTATTGAAAAGAATCATTCAGAATGCTTAGCTTCTCAAATTTGCCGCCTTTGGTGTTGTGAACAGATACAGAGCTGTCACAAGTGCATATTATAGGGGAGCTGTTGGGGCTATGTTGGTTTATGACATAACTAAACGCCAAACATTTGACCACATACCCCGTTGGCTAGAAGAGTTGCGCGCGCATGCAGACAAGAACATTGTTATCATTCTCATTGGGAACAAAAGTGACCTTGAAGACCAGCGCGTGGTGCCCACCGAGGATGCCAAGGAATTTGCTCAGACGGAAGGACTTTTCTTCTTAGAGACTTCGGCACTGGAAGCAACAAATGTTGAGAATGCGTTCTCAACTGTGTTGACAGAGATTTTCAACATTGTGAATAAGAAAAATCTTGTCGCAGGCGATGATCAAGTTAATGGCAATCCTGCATCTTTATCTGGCAAGAAGATTATTATTCCCGGTCCTGCACAAGTAATCCCGGAAAAGAACAGGATGTGCTGTAGATCGTGATTTTTTTCCCCTAGGATTGAAAGTCTTGATCTATCATCCTACGCTCAGTGACGTGATTCTTTTAATTATGTGTTATATTTTGGTTGTAGAGAAGAAATGGTTGTGACTTCAGTGGGGGAGAAAACCAAATAGCAGAGTGGCAGATTTGATTTTGTGATCATCTATTCGTTTCTTTATTTTTCATCTCTCTTTAAACGGTACTTTATTGGACCGTCTTCTGGTCCCTCCTGTAATATGAATATTTTTTGCATGGTGACCTTTCCATTTTGTGTGGCCGAAAAGTCATTACGTTTGTGACTATTTACCATTCTACTCTTTGGTCTGAGGTGCATAGCTCGAATCATTGTGCACTTTGACTAGTACGTATTCGGTAAGCTGCATTGGACAACACTTCACAATATTTAAAAATAAAAAACATGTAACAAAGACGTATTATCTATACCCTTTTGGTCAAGAATGCACATGTACTTAATTTTTTAACATAATAGCAAAACTTGATAATATAAGGTTTACAAGCAAGCTTAAAGACAACTGAGAGAAACAAATCTATCTCCATCTCAACTGCTAGAACATTTCAAATACTGGAGGGATAACAAATGAGCTCCAAAATTTTCTGTTCCCAACACTTTGGCTATAGATCTCTAAAATAAATAATAAAGTACAACACAGACGAGATGAACTCCAAAATTTGCTGGTTCAACCAAGAGTTTCTGGTGTCAAGGCTTTAATGTCCTCTTTAATTTCAGAATCATTCTTGTGCCCGAATTCATCAGCCTTGAGTTGGGAGGAGCTATTATGGGCTGTTTCTGTTGCTTTAAGCACGGACAACCTTTCTAACAGTTCCTGGCAGTCAATTGCGGTCACCATCACAGCCACATTAGTTCTACCCCTCCAACATCCAATAGCAACCGTCGATGCATCCACTTGCTGATCTTCTGATAAGTCCTTGTCGTCTGCAGGAAATAAACAAATTCAGGATGCAAAGTATATTTTAGAAATTGTTTACAACTCGATACCACAAGGAATAACCATAAATTGATCATTGTAAACTTCAACAACATAGAGACCTCTACGCAGAACCACCACGCAACAACCTAGCATAAGCTTTGAAGCCTTTTCTCCAAACTCAGGGTTAACGAAATCTGAAAATTTGATAATTTTGTATTGTAATAGATGCTTGAAATCTACTGCAGATGCGTATAAGATTTGCTTAGTTATATGTGGAAGAATCAATGGCAATCCTTCAGAAGATATTCGAAATAAACAGGGCGCAGTTGTCCCTTCTTTCGAAGTCTGTCTTTCCTGAAATCAGAAGAAAATATATTCAAAACAACCATCAGGCTGATAGAAGACACGTTAGGTGAAAATGTTTATTTTCCCTTTTCCCTAAATAAACATCATTTCATTAACTGAGATCACTGCGATTAGCAGTTGAAAAGAAAAGAATAAAATCTACCCCCAAGTACTAAACTGCTGGATGGACCAAAAATAGCAATCAGGGTTTTTCATTTTTTTATGCTTTTGTTAAGAGCACATTTAGCTAAGCTTAAGAAAAGTAGAAGTTATTTTTTTCTTTCTAAACAAATTATGTTCCTTTCTCCTACCATTCTAAGTTAAAGAAAAGAAAAAAGACACTTATTTTGAAACCGGTAAAAGATTCAATATAAAAATAACTTACAAACATCTTCAGTCCAACGGAAGCTATCTTAAGATGTTGGCCAGCTAATAAGTTCAATTCAAGAACATCCTTCACATACTTTGAAATGTAGTATATTCTCTTCACATGGTTATTGTCTATGTTTCTTGTAATGAGATGACCTTTAAAAGGAAAGGATTCTTTAATTCCATAAAATTCCATTATCCTATCAATAACAGTGTCATCCCGGTAAAAAAGAACAGGATCAACTCCTCTCCACTTTCCTTGAATCTGTAGCTTTCTTTTACCCCTTGTCAATTCGGCACCAGTTTTCGTATCAGGAGAAGGTTGGGCTTCCTCTTTTTCAGTTTCTTTTGACAGTATATTACTGTCAGTATCCAAAGCATCTTCATCAATTCCATTCTCAAGTATATCAGCATCAATAGTGACTTCAGAACGTTGACCCTCTGTGCCTTTGGTTGAATCAATTTCCACCCCATCCGAATCTTCTTTCACCTCATTCTTTGATATTTCAGCTTGAGCATTACTAGAATCCATTTTCTTAGGAAGACTGAGATTTTTTTTCTGAGTCACTGCAGAGGTAAAGATAATGTGAATACTGAGTAGAAAATGCAAGATTTAGGTAAAATACTACTCCATCCTATTTTGTTATTTTTGTTAAGACATTGAATAAGAACGTTGTCATTTTACACTTTATACATCAGTTTTTCCAGAATTACCCCACTTAGTAGAGTTGGTTATGGCAGTGAAACACCAGCAATGAAACCAAAATATATCAGAAATCAGAATGTGCTTCAGTAACCAACAAAACCCCCGGCAAGCATGCAAGAAAGCCCAGAACTTTTAATTGCTCACCCAATCAGAATGATTTTTTTCTACTTACCAGAAAGAGATGAAAGCTTGTGAAAAACAGCAATAAAGAAGGCCCCAGTATTTTGGTCATGAGGAACTATCCTCATACAACGTTCCAAAGGTAGAGTCGAGACTTCTGCATCCGAACTTGGAGCTGGAAACATAGGATCATCAATCATCTGGAGCTCATTTCCAGTACTCTCCTTACCATTCTCAACTAATTCTGTAGTAACAGTTTCATGATCAAGCTCAGATGTTTCCTCGTATGTTTTACCAGAGGGAAACATGCCTGAAGTAACTATAGACCTTCGATATTTAGGAACATCTTTATAAGATGTAAACCACACCCCTTTATCTCGAACCTGCACAGCAAAATGTATTAATATAAATTAAATGCTATTGTCATGGTTCAATAGATAATTTGATAAGCCAATGATTTTTTTCAATGTTTTAGAATACGGTTAACCAACAAGTTAAGTAATCGATTACAATAAATTGGATCAGATTTTGCTGTTTTTTCTTCAGCAATACGTTGATGTGACATGCGTGAAATTCAAGAATCCGTTTTCTTTTACTGAGGGCTAAAATCACTCCTTTTGGCTTTTTTTACCCCATATTGTAGGGTGGATCTAAAAAGATATGAAAGATCTCCCTCCCAGACGTACATACAACTTTCATCAAATACGGCTTTCCGTAGAATTCTATATGTATATTTGAGATCAAGTATGGGATTTGCTGGATTAATATAGGAATTAAATGATAAAGAATCAATAAATAGATAATGTGGCTAGATAGAGTTTACAGTGGTTTATCGGTAGGATAGTGTTCCACCTGGGGTAAGACTATTGATCGAATTTACTAAATATTCACAGAAGACATCAAATTTGCAAAGATGAGAAAATTAAGGCTTGTAAGTGGAGTTAAAAAGTATGCAAAAGGAAATAGATATAGAAGCACAAGAATCCCCAATGTGTTTTTCAGGTTATTTAGTATCATTTGTTTTTTCAAATTATATACTTTTTCCAGCAAGTAACAATTTTTTTTTCTTCCCCTAACTAAATTTATCAACCCAAAAAGGGTCTCAGGCACCAGAGATGAAATGACAGATTTTGAGATAGAGGAGCTCTTGCTGAAGTACATCTATCACATTTAGCGTGGGAACTTGGGGATTTAACATTAAGGTCTTCTAGACACATTGTCCATGATAGGACACAGGAAGACAATTAATCCATAAGATTAATTTGAACTGTGATTCACAAGGTAAATATATTTATCTAGAGTCAATTCATGTACATAGTCCCCTCAAGAAATGCTATAGTAGTCAAATAATTAGTGAGTTCTTCAGCAACCATTCAGGATTGATATCAAACTTTACTACATTTCAACATACACAAGCATGTTATTTCACCTACTGGAGCAGTGATCTTCCCGAAGTCATCAAAGTGAAGGTCCATTAGAACAAGTGAACAAACTATAATACCAACCCCCTTCATGACTTGAATTATAATCTTTCCAATGCAATGGTGAACAAAAATGTGCCTAGAGATCCTATATCTTGAAGACAATAATTAAATGATATATATATGCAGCCCCATCTAATAGCTTAGACTTTTAAATCAAGTGGTTCAACATAATATCAGAGGATGCAAAGGTCCTACGTTTAAGTCTCTCCCCTACCCATTTAAATGAATTGTGCATGTGTTAGGCTTTTATGGAAAAAAATCAAAACTGCCTACACGTCACCTGAGAGGACGTGTTGAAGACTAATGATATGATGCATACGTGTCTCTATCCATCTGCTTAAGCTTTTAGATAATGTGTCTCAACACTATGCTCTACCAAACGTCACAAACGTGGTCCACCAAATTTCGAGAACATCAGGCAAACCTGAACAGAATGATCTAAAGCACCGTTGCAGAAGAGTACAAGCAAGAGACGCATTACAATGCTGCCAGTATCTTCAAAATTTAGTTATGGATTTGTTACTGACTTGTTGCAAACATTTGTTTTTGTTGGAAGTCAAGAGTTCTATCTATACAGAGCTTCTCCTCTTGGGGGACAATTGAGACATGGAATAGTTGGTTTGAGGAAAGAGATAATTTCGTTAGCAAAAGATAAATAGAAAACCCTGTGCAAGAACCTCAGGTACAAAATTCTAGTAACTAAGATAAAACTGTGTACACCAACTGCAGCTTACTGTGTACATACTCCGAATATTCTGTAATAATAAAAAGCCAACTCAAAATTTATTACTAACCTTCCATTTCTTAAGGCCTGGCCTGCGAATCAATTGAGGCAGCTCACTGGAGACATCCACAAGCTCAATAGATCCTTCACATCTCCGCAAGATCTGAGGGGAATTAAACATTATAGGCATGTGAATATATACAGGTCGGCGAGACATTAACACAAAAACACATGCCACAAACACAGAGACAAGCACCGCCACATGAGAGAGAGAAGTATATGATGCTGCATAGTACATAAATTTAGAAGTTTACCATGACACACCTTCATAGTGTGACTAAAAAAAATGGAGAAGATATAATAAATTCAAAGGCAAGGAGGATTATGTTCAAATTAAATATACAAGTATATGTAACAATTCCATTCAGTTTGCTTTAACAAAAGTTGCTGATCACGGATTAGGACAGCAGACTAAAATCAAAGATCTCTGTGGTTGAGGTTGCATTCATTTATTCAACTCGAAATGTGGGAAAGGCTAGCTATCCTATCCCCAACTACTTAAAATGAAAATAAGGGTTTAATGTTTGAT